CAGGACATGAAGCCTCCAAAGAGCCTCTACATCGAGGTGAGACATTTGACCTTTGACCTTTAGCTGCAGCATGACCTCGTAGCACTGACGCCGACATCTTTGTTTTTCAGGTGAGGTGTCTGAAGGACCACGGCGAGTTCGAGATTGACGACGGCACGGTGATCCTGCTGAAGAAGAACAGCCAGGTGAGGACGGGATGCCGCTCTTCTTCTTCTACTGTTTAAAAACATGTGAAATGTTTCAAGTTGTCATGGTAACGTCTCCTCTGTCCTCAGCACTTCCTGCCGCGGTGGAAATGTGAGCAGCTGATTCGTCAGGGCGTCCTGGAGCATGTGGTGTCCTGACGATGCAGATGTTTCAGCAGCTGGAAAACACCTGCACTCACCTTTATTCTGGGCTCTTCTTCTGATGTGATAATAAATTGTTTTTTCAAGCTCCGCCTACTTTATTTAAAAGCTCACAGTGAAGCTGCAGGATGAACGCTGACTTCTTTCCACTGTATAAAAGTTAACGTGAGTGTTCTCGGTGGTCAGGGACAAATGCAGTCGCATGGCAGGATGCTGTAAACGCACCAAACTTCATCCAGGAGAACAACTGAGATCATCCACAACACGAGGTTAGTCATTAACATACTGCTGCTGGGCTGCAGTTACATCATGAGGGTTTAAAACTGAGCTTTAAAATGAACAGTGGTGATAAAAACAGGCCGACAGCGATCACTGACTGTTTTAGGGGATTGTTGGGATTAAACAGAACAAGATACAAAACACTTAAACATGTTAAAAACACAACAGCCTTAATAAACAGTTTGGACCCAGAGTTCATATGCATCACTTAAAGACCGGATTAGCAGGCGTATACCATCATGGACACTTCAGAGTGGGCGGAGCCCCATTTCCTCCAGAGCGTCTCAGATTCAACAAGGGGAAAGTTTTCCTCAGACTCTGGTCCATGTGGATATGACATCATGACGTTGGCCAGTGAGTGCACGTCAGCACAGGTGTGAAGCGTTACCTGTAAACCTGTAATCATTCTTTGAAATCAAATAAAATGTTGATGTTCAGGTTCAGCTGATCGAGTTTATCGCTGCGGTGATTGGCTGCAGACGCTCGGCGTCGCCGGGACGTCTGATTAAAAAGATAAAGGTAAGATGACAAAGATAAGAGACAGCAGAGCTCTGAAGCTTTAACGCCGTGACCGTCGCGTCCTCGTGGCTTTCTGCCACTCCAAACATCGGCCGGCGCTCCTCACAGCTCACACCGGACCATTCAGTTTTATTTCTACAGCATCGGGCGCCAAATCACAACAAAAGTCGCCTCAAGGCGCTGAGGCGGCCGGTTCTGGTCCCCACGCTGCATGTTTGACACCACAGACTGTCAATGTTGATCGTTTGAGATAAACCAGCGATTTGCTGTGTGACAGGAAGTGAATCAGCTGGAGGAGGCGGAGTCACAGAGACATTAAAACTTTATTTCAATGACGCAAAAATAAAAAGTTTCATTATAAACAAAGATAATACTGACACACCGAACGCGTGTGCTCCAGACATCCACCTGCTTCACACAGGTGAGGCCCCGCCCCCTCCCGCTGGGGCCTTCTGCTCTGCGTTGCCATGGTTATGTGGCGAGCGATGCAGGGACGATGTCCCTCAGCAGCTTGTTGAGCGCGCCGACCTTCTCCTCCAGCAGGAAGTTCTTCTTCTCGGCGCGTTTCTGCCGCTGCTCGGTGACCTGCAGCGCCTTCATCAGCTGCGAGTTCTCCACGTACAGGTCCTTCAGCAGTGCGCTTGACTTGGCGTTCCTCGCCAGCTGTGGGAAAAAACGGCAACGGGTCAAAGTTCGACCGGACGTTTGTGGATGGCGGAGAAGCGGCGCCAACGCTCACCTGCTCTTTAAGCTGCTCCACCTTTTCCTGCAGGAGCAGACGGACCGCCTTCAGTTTGGTTTCCACGTCCTCCGCCCTCTGCTGCAGCGCCGCCATCGCCTTCTCGTACTGATCCTGAACGCCACACACACACAGGAAGTGACAGTGAGAGGGACGGCCCGCCGCTGCTGCGGGCGGCGGTCGTCATCATTCTCCTCATAAGAGGGTGACCTCTGACCTCTGACCCACCTGCTTCGTGCTGATCTGAGAGCTGCTCTTCTGCTCCTGCTGCCTCAGCTCCTCCTCCAGCTGCAGACTCCTCCTCTGCTCCTCCACCAGCCGCGCCTGCAGCACCTCCGCCCGCTCCCTGCAGCTGTTGTCCTC